TGAATTTGTTCCCATGAATTTGATGATTCTTTTTTAGGTTCCTGAAAATGGTGTGTTTTAAACTTCATTTTATTTTTGTTTTATTTTATTTTTAATCTTGTTTAAAATCTTATTCTATTATGTGTGACTGTGCAGCTCATTCTTTTAAAGATTTGTTTTTTATTTTCTGTGGTCAGGTGTTCTGCCTACATGTAAGCCTGCATAACACATGTTTGTAATGCCTGCACAGGCCAGAAAAGGGTGCTGGGTCCCCTGGAACTGGGGTTACAGAGAGTTGAGCCACCAACCTGGATCTTCTAGAAGAGCAGCCAGTGCCCTTAACTGCTGAGTCATTATCTCTCCATCCCCTGTGCAGCTAGTTTCTTGCTATCATTGTTTTACTTTGTTTTTGAGAAAGGGTCTGGCTAAGCTACCCAGACTGGCCTTGAAATCTCAAGCTCAAGTGGCCCTCCTGCTCCAGCCTTTTGAGCAGCCGATTGTATAAGCATGTGCCACAAAGGCTGGCAAAGCACAACTGGTTGTTGCATGTTGACATTGTATCCAGACACCTTGAGAAATTTACATGAATTTCAATAACTTATCTATAGATTCTTTTGGATTTTCTATGTATATAATCATGTTGTGTCAATAGAAATGGGGTTATCAGACATGTCAGAGTGAAGACTGTTCAATATTGCACACTATTATCATCGACAGGATACTTATTTTTAGGTACCCATTATTGGGTTAAGCAACTTCCTTGTTTCAGACAAAATCATGAATAATATCAAACTTAATGAAATCTTTTTACATCTACTGAGATGATTGTATTTTTCTACTGTATTCTATTGCTATAGGAAATTAGCTTGATTTGTTTTCAACTGGTAAACTGTTCCTGAATTCCTGAAACTTAACCCCTTTGGTATGACCTACTAGCCTTTTATATATACTGAATTCATTTGATTACATTTTAAGATTTGTATATAGGCCCGTTAGAGTTTGATCTTAGATTTTCTTCTTTTCGTAAAAAAGATTGTATGTGTGTGTGCATGTGTGTTTGTGTAAGTGTGTTTGTGCGAGTGTGTGTTTATAGGTATGGGAAGAGTTCAGAAGAGCACAAAAGAGAGAACCCCTGGGGCTGGAATTACAGGTTCTTGTGAGATGCCTGATGCAAAACTGAACTCATGTCCTCTATAAGAGCAGCAAGCACTATTGACCACTGAGCCACCTCACTGACCCTCTTCAATTTTCTTTTACCATAACATTCTTGCCAGGTTTTAGAGTAAGGTAGGTTTGGTTGGTTGGTTGTAAGAACAGTGACATGCCCCCTCTCCCTTTACTTTCTGGAAGAGTACTTAAAACTGATGCTATTCTTTCTTTCCAGTTCCTAGATGATTTCCTGGGGTGATCACCTGCAATCTGTCTGCATATTTGTATATCTGATCTTTGCTGGAAAGATCTTTAACGGTGAATTTGATTCTTTAATATCATTCTTTCTACTTCTTCATGTGCTAATTTTGACATAACAGGTTTTCAAAGAATTAGTTTACTTCATCTAAATAGTCTTGTTAAATGAGTCAGCCCCAAACACATCTTGTAATTAAGGGTACATCTTAAAGTCCAACCAGTGTCCTCAGAACCACTTATTGGATAATAAACCTCTTATAAAATGTATAATGCTCTCAGTCATTCAAAAAATGTATTGGCTCAAACTATAATCCAAGCAATACCTCAGTGGTGCAAAGTTAAATAAGACAACGTTCTTGCTTCATGAAGATTTCTTTTAGTAAAAAGAATCAACGAAGAAGTAATAAGTTCCTAAAAAATAAAGTAGGGTAACGGCCTAGAGACCTTGGAAGAAGAAAAGGACTGTTGGAGATAGTTAGAGAAGGCCACTTTGGGAAAGTTTAATCTGATCAGAGACTTAAATGCAGAAATCACGAAAAGACAGAAGGAGGACACACACAGTCCTCAGGCAGAGACAGATTCACATTCCAGGAAGAGCTAAGGCTGTGGCCATGCCACTGGAGCAAAGCAAAGAGAAACAGAAGACAGTTTAGGAATTCAGGCAGGATTAGATGGGGTCTTCTCACTATGTTAACGATTTAGGTCACCCAAGCATGTTAGGGGAACATTGACTATTGTTTTTAAGGAAACAAGCACAGCCAGGCATGGTGGTGCACGCCTTTAATCCCAGCACTCAGGGAGGCCAAGGCAGGTGGATTTTTGTGAATTTGAGGCCATCCTTGTCTACAAAGTGAGTTCAGGACAGCAAAGGCTACACAGAGAAACCCTGTCTAGAAAAACAAACAAACAAAAAAGCACATTCATTTTGAGCAGGAAAATAACATGTTCTGATATTTGTTTTTAAATGCTACTTCAGCATATATGTGGAATAGACTAAGGACATATAGAGGTCAATTAGGGAGATATTGTAACAGTCCAAGCTGGAGAAGAAAGAGGAAGAGAGCATTCCAGATCATGGTTTGTAGGAAAGTAAGGTGTTAGGGATCTAGGCACTATGACCAGCCTGACAAGAGACAGATTAGTAGAGTCTTTAAGGATAAGCATGAGGGAGATGACTCAATGGTGCTGCTTGGGCTGTGCTGAGAATGGTGAAGAGAAGAGGTCAGACACAGGACTGACTATCATCTACATGTGGGGTTACAGGAGAGCAAAGACTCAAGGTTGACTCCAGGGCTGAGGGCTTGAACAACTGGGTACATGGTCGTGGTGTTTATGAGCCTGAGATCCTGAAACAGAAAGAAGCAGGTCTCAGAGAGTAGGGGTTTGGAATTGGCAATTTGGTAGAGAACATGCTACATTTCAGATCCTCCTAGACATCCCAGTGGGAATCTTACTGGCCAGCTGATTAATGCATCCAAATATCAAAAGAAAAGTGAACCCTAGAGATGCAAACTTAAGAGTCATGTCCAAGGAGACAACGCCCAGCACAAGATTGGGCGTACATTCACTTTGAATGAATGAAATATTCAAGGCCCTAGTCTTGGGATGGCCCAATTTTAAAAGCTGGTTAGAAATCCAGAGCAAAGCCTGGGGTAGCATCTAAAAAGATGGAATACCCATGCCTATATTGGTCTTTGAAATCTCAGTTCTGTCTATTCTTGTATCACTTTTGATTCTTTATTTCTAAATGAAATGAAACCAGGTATGACCCAAATGATGTCATCTGGGCTGCAATTTCCTCTATAGTGTGCTCTTTACCCTTGGTCCAGATGACAATGACAATGTTGGGTCCCTCAGCTGGGAGACCAGTGGTTGCTGCTGGGCACTAAAACCCATAGGTACCCAACACAATCCTGGGACAACACCACCTGGGTTTAGTTACATCACCTGAGGGCACAGTGTTCAAAACTAGGGAGGCTTTTATATTCACACCACTAGATTTTCTCAGATTTTCACCAGATATCTGTTCATGTTTATTTTTTTTAATTATTTTTAATTATGTGTATATATATATGACTGTGTGAGGGTTTATGTACACAAGTACAGTGTCTATGGAGACCAAATGAGGGTGTTAGATCCCCTGGAGGAAGCGTCATAGGCAGCTGTAAGCCCCAGCCTCAGTATGGGTGCTGGGAGCCAAACTTGGGTCTTCTACAAGAACATATGTTCTCTGAACCGTAGAGTCATCCCTTCAGACCCTCATGCTTGTGCTTAAAGACTCTACTAATCTGTTTCCTACCACGCTGGCCATGCTCCTGGATCCCTAACACCTCACTTTCCTACAAACCATGCTTACTCCTCATGCCTCATCTAGAATGCTCTCTTCCTCTTTCTCCTCCTATCCATGAAGTTACCCTCCTTCAGCATCTACACTGCCTCCGACCCCCGGATGACAGTTTTCCAACGACATGTTTGAAACTGTGACCCTGTACTCCTGCTACCTGAAAAGAATTTTCAAGCAGAACAGAACTGTTGCCTATTTATCACCATCTCCTGGGTAAACCGGAAATCCCTCTGTGACCTGCTGGGTCCTAAGCCCCTTACTTACTGTTTGTTTGTTTGTTTGTTATGCTTTTGTTTTTTCTGACTTGTAAGTCTGCAGAGTTCAGGATGTAAAGTATAAAATTTCTTTTTTCCACTTTGTCATTCATCTACATCAGCATTAACCCACATATTCAGCTCCTTTAAAAGTCCTTAGCTTCCCTGACTGGAATCTCTGTGTAAGGTTGCCTTCAGTAAGGTGGTGGGAAATGCTCTCGTTTTTCTTGAAAGTGCCTCCTCTGCACAGATTTCTACATTGTTGACTGTGTCTATCGCATGCATTATTCCGCTGCCTTCTAGGCTCTGTGTATGTAAAATGCTGATTCTATTTCCTTGTTGTGAACAGAGCAGCAATAAACATGGATGAGTAGGCATCTATGGTAGGACACAGAGTGCTTTGGGTATATCCCAAGAATGGCATAGCTGGGTCATATGGCAGGTCTATTTTCAGATTCTTTTTTCAGAGCCTCCCTTCCAGTTTCTATAGTGGATACATCATTTACACTCTCACGGATAATGAGGAAGGGTTCCCCTTCCCCCACATCCTCACCAACATTTGCTGTCACGATTGCTCAAGGACAATCATTCTAACTGGAGTGAGAAGGACTCTCAAAGTAATATTAATTTGCATTTGCCTGATGGCTACGAATGTTAAACATTTTTAAAAATATTTCTTGGCTATTGGTATTTCTTCTTTTCAAGGTATTGGCCCATTTATTGATTCCAAGCCACTTTCAACTGCTTCGCATTAATGCAGGCAGCATTAATAAGCTGTTCAAAATGTATATAGTCCAAATTTTTCTTTCTCTATGTATTTATGTTATAAAGAAGCTATGGGTCTTTTTGCTCCTATCGTTGTTTTTCTTATCTTCTCATTATGAGTGAGATTTTTATGTGTCCTATTACTTCTGATTATATAGCTCAGTAACTCTGGGAACTTTTTTTTAAAGCTGCCTTCTTTCAGAGGACATCCACCATTCATTCTTTTTTTTTTTTTTTTTTAAACTGGTACACACTGTTCACACCTATATTTCAAGTTTGGAAATGCATATTTGCAAGCAGCAATACAAAAGTATTCATGAAGAATGCATAATCTCTGAAAATTATGAAAACATCCCTGCTACCAATACATTTCTAAATACAAAACTGACTAACATATTTGTTACTTCTGTGTAGCTAGAGAAGTTCGTTTTCAAAACAGATAAAATTCAGTCTTTAGGTGTGAATGGTATGAATGACAGTCTTTTTTTTTTTAATTCTTAGTTGTTTGGGATCCTTAAGCATGCAAAGCTTTGAACAGGAGGGTCCACAAAGGAACCAGTGTTGTATTATGGCATCCAGTTAGGCCAGAGCTGGGAATGCCTCTGGGTCATCTACATCAGGAGCAGAAGCACTTGACTTATCAGTCCTGCTGCCACGGTTTGAACGACCACCACGGCCACGGCCACCACGTCCTCCCCTGCCACCACGTCCTGGGCGGCCTAGGTCTCCGAAATTGATCTCCAGTTGAGACGTTATATCATTTGCTGGCTTCCGGAAATGATGGTCCATAACTGAATCTTCAGCATGAGCCTCTTCACTTTTTGATTTATGCAGAACAAATCCCTTTTTCCATTGTCCATCAGCACCTTCATTTGGTTTTCGGATATTAAATTCTACTTTTGCTCGGTCTTTATTTTGAATAGCTTTCCATTCATCCAAAGTCATCTCTTTTGGACCCTCTTCCTTAACCTCTTCAACTTCGTTCTCCTTATTTTCAGTGTCTGCCACGGGGTGCTCTTCACCTTCAGGTGTTTCCTCAGTCACATTTGATTGATCCAAATCAGTTAATTCATCTTTGACAGTTCCCCAGTTGTGAGATCCGCTACCTCCACGTTTGTCCTCATGCTTCAGGCCACTCCTTCACCCTTTTCTTCAAGTGGCTTTTCAAATCTTCTTTCGCGAGGTGGTCGCCTTTCTGCTCTCCTATCAAGAATTTTCCCATCACCCTGAAGTTGTTGATCAGGTCTTCTTCCAACTCGCCTTATTCCTTCTTTCTTAAGCGCCACCGGCGGCTGCGTCTCCTCCTTTTTGTCAGCCACGCCGATGCTGGGGGGCAGCGGGTTCTTGCGATCTTTCTGGGACTCTTTACGCAACTGTTTCCCCGCCGCGTTGGAGTTGGTCTGGGCCGCGGCCTGAGCGGCGCTCTTGGCCCCGGGGCCCCCAACGCCGCCCCCGCCGGCTTCTTTTTTCTTGTTCTCTGCTGCCTTCAGTACCTCGAAAGGGTCCGATTCGTCGTCAAATAGCTGGTCGAATCGGTTGGTGACCACGCAGCCGAAGCCTTCCTGTAGGTGCCCAGGCATGATGGTGGCTCGGCGGCGCGTTCCTCCACGGATTGCAGCGGACCGCGCCGAGCCAAAAGCGCCTGCTTCAGCTCTTCCCACAAGATCTCCACCATTCATTCTTCCAGGTATTTAGGCTTCTATCCAGTTGGATGAGTTAACACCACCTTGAGGCCTGTGAAAAAGCTGCCCAATGACCCCAGGTCACTTTCCCTTCTTCCTGTTGCTCTGCTCATTACCAAGGCAATCTGTCCCTATGAACGGGTGACATGGTTTCAGCTCCGTGCTCACCTCAGTCCTCAGGAGCTCCACTCAAGTGCAGCTGGTGTCCTGGTGAGTCTCTCTACCTTGGGCATGCCATGTCTTTGACTCCTGAGTTCTCCATCCTTCAAGACTGGCAAAACCAAAGTTGGTATGCAGATCTGCAATGGTTCTGAGGGTGTGACTGAGTGTGCTCTCGCTCATCCAACTGCCTAGGTCCCTTAGGCTTCAGCCTAGTTGTTCCCTTTTATCTTCTCAGCTTGTTGGTGCCTTCACAGAAACCTCTCTTTCCTCCCGATTTTAATGGTGCATGCAGCATTTAGTGTTTTCAGCAGAGCTTTGATTCAAATAGCCCCGCCTACTGCTGTCAGGAACAGAAATCTTCCATTTGTTTTCTTCATTGTCACTGAATGAACTGTCCTCCCACCACGTCACAGCATTAGCATAAAGTTCCTCCTTGCACATGAATGCCCAGCACACTCTCAGATGAGCTGCTTCAGAGTCCAAAGGCTCTCCTCCTCCCCTTGACCATGGACACAGTACTTCCTACAAACATGGGGGCTCATCTCTGCAACTCTCTATGCCACCTCTCTTTCGTTCTCTGAACAAAACTACACCCAAGAAGGCTTCTTCTTCAAGCTGCATGTGTCCTCAGTTCTCACTGTTGCAAGCAGGGTGATAACGCGTTTCATGTCCGGGTGGACTCTGTACTTCAACAAACACAACTTTTCAGGTACTTTCTAAGGTCAAGTGCTGCTGAGGTCAGTCACCATCTCTGCGAAGTGTTCACACTCAAACTCAGATATAAAAACAAGCCTCTCACAGACCCCTGGCCCTGGATGAGAGAGTGCGTAACTTCCATCAGGGTGGCCCCGCTCAGACACCTTGGGAGTCCTGGCAGGTAGTATAACAGGTGAAGAGGGAATGGCAGAAAATACAGACACTACATCCAAAGACAGCAGCCAGTGAGTGCTGCTGTGAAGGACCTGGGGCCTGATGTTTTGAGAAAGGCTAAGACTCCCATTGATACATGAAATCTCCTACATGTTACATGATGACAACTAATCCAATTTTGTAATATATATATATATATGCTAAACAGAACACACCTGCTGACCGAATCTGACTCAGGACTACCCCTGTACAATTGGTATTTTATACAGTCAGCTTTAAAATGGGACACAGGTGATTCGCCACCCTCAAAAGCAATGTTTCCCGGGGGCTCAGTGTAAGAACTTTATCACTGCAGTAACCACAACTCTCAGTATGCCTTCACAGCATGCGCCTCCATCTCCCCCACCAACCCTGTCGCTCTCCTGCCAGCATGAGCTGTGAGGGAGTGACAGGCTAAGTGGAAATCACCTAGTTTTTAGTCAAAAGCATCTAGTTAAAAGTCCAGTGCTCCGTCCCACCCCTGAGCCATCTCAAACCTTGCTGAACCTCAGTTTGTCCATCTGCAAAATGGGAATAGTGAAGTAATGAGGCTGACATGTAATCCTGGGACAGATTAGACACTAAGAATTATAAACAAAGAATCGCTTTCCCCCAAGAAACACATGAAAAGCTAACTACCATGCTACACGGAGCATTCATGGCAAGCTAATACCACAAGACCCTCTGTGGAGTAAAGAGGGTAAATGCATTCAGTAAACAGAGTAAGAACAGGAAACACAGCTCTGCAGAGAGGCCCAGGCCTCCACCCTAAAGCAGCTGCTCATGAACTTGGTCTAGGAGGTCAAGGTCTGTAGAAACCCATGCTAATTAAAATTCATAGACGTTAATTAAATGATTATTCAAGAACTCTCTCAGCTCTTGAAGCCATTTTTATATGTAGATTACAACACAACCCTGGCTCAAGTAAAGGCATGCCAAGGCCGTGGTGGCCTAAACCAATGGCTCTTCCGGCTAGGGAGCCGCACCTGGGAAAAGCAAGGAAGCGTGAATGCATAGTAAACTGAGGAGCTGGCTGTCGCTGTGTGGGGCAATCTACTGAGGCTGCAAAGGGAAGCCTTCCTCTGCTGCCAGATGCAGGGACAGAGCGACTGCCACAAAGGGCCTCTCAGACCATCAAGTGCCTGCCTCTCCAGCCTATGCTTTTAGAGAGGAGCAGGTCCACAGGAAAGCAGCAGCCAGGAGCCACAGGCTATCCTGACCGCTCAGCCCCCTCCACTCCCGCACTCCTAGAGTGAAACGGGAAGGAGAGACGGTAGCTATGCGGTCTCCAGAAACACAAGCCTCTGTGGCTAGATCCACGCATGGGATCCTGCCAGGGGAGCATTCCAGGTTAGGCTTCTGCATCAGGGTTGAAAAGGAATGAACTGTCTCTGGCAGCTTGAGCTGGCTCGCCGCCAAGAAGAGCTAAGCTCCACCCCCTTCCTCCGTGCCTAGTTTACGGAGCCAGTGCCTGTTCCCTCCTGGCTCCTCCAACTGTGGCATGCCCGTCATGGTTTTCCTCTAGGGAGACGGAAGCATCCAAACCCACTTATCTCCTTGACTGCCCAAGCAGGGGACTAGCAGCTTTTTACTCTATGTCCACGTTTAAGAAAAGGGAGGTTTAGATAGTCCAACGATGTAGCTCATTGCAGGGCTTTTGTCCAGCAAAAGGCTCTTGGTTTGATCCCCAACACCAGGAAAGGAGGGGATGGTCAGAGATGGCATATAGATCACAATTAGCCAGGGAGTGACAATCACTGAAGATGGGCTGTATATTGATAAGATTTATATTATTTTCTCAATTTTTATTTGTGTTTAAAGTTTCCTGTAATTAAAAAGAACTGTTTGAAGGATGTGGGGAGATGACAGACACAACCTGAAAAAAAAAAAAAAAATGATGCTGTTGGCTGTCTTCTCAGGACAGTCCAGAAAGTACACAGGCCTTCAGATCCATGGCCTGCCAGGTCAGAGGTCATGCATTGCTGGGGCAGAGGTTATGTCTTCTAAGCATCACGCTCATTGTCCTCAACAAGACAGACTTTGAAAACTTCCCTAGAACTTTCCAAAATCCTTCTGGTAGGACCCAGCTGCCCTCCTCAGCATAAACTCCTTCAGCCTCCACAAATCATCCTCCTGCTACTGCAAGGGCCTCCATTTCCTGTTCCAAACTACCGAGTTGAGCAATCAAGCTACTGAGAGAGCTCCCGGTGGCAGACAGCAGCTTGCTTAGCTGGGTCTCCCTCAGGATGTCAGATGTGTGTGACACTCCAAAGAGGGAAAGGAACACTTTGTTTTCTTTCCTCAATTTCCTCTTCCCTTACCCTCTGCCTTCCCCCAATGAGAATATGCACAATCACATATTGTGACATTTTCCAACTTTAAGCCTGTGAGGTTGGGATGCGCGGTTCTTTGTGGTGGGAAAGACATGGTACTGTGTGTCCTAGAATGGCCAGCAGCATCTCGGGGCTCTACCCACTAACTTCCAAGAAGCATAGAGGCCTTCCCTAGCTGTAACAACCAAACAACAAACAACCAAAAATCAGAAGTTGTTGAGAAACACCAGCCTAAAAGATACTGAAAAAGCAGTATCTGCAGAGAAAGAGAGGAAGGGAGAGAAGAGAAGAGGGAGGAGGAGAGAGAGAAAGGGAGATTTGTACAGTTTGTTCCCACACAATTAGACAATACATTTCAACCTATGAGTTCATAAATATGAAGATTTTTTAATGTTGCATTCTAAGCCAGAAATATGTAAAGTGCCAAGAGAAAAGTGAACTCAGCACTCCCAACTGTATCCTCTCTGTCTTTGCGGTTTCCTGTGCAAATCTCATTTGCTTCCCCCACATTATCCTGTTTTCCAGTCAGTGTGGCCATCCAAACATCTCGCCCAGCCTCTCGCAGCACCACACAATCTGAGTCTCAGCTGGAAAGAAAAGCTTCCCTGTGGCTTTCCTAGCACACCCCATGACGTACACTGGCTCTCCAGCACAGGTTTTAACAGGGTTGCTGGAGAACAGAGCTCCCCACAAGGACATTCTCCAACCAACTCAGAAAAAAAAAAAAAAAGGAATCACCAATGTGTTCCAATGATTCCACTTCTAAATAGTCATATCTGGACCCCCTCTCTGAGCGATAACATCAAAACAATAGCCTTTTACAGTTTGAACTCTTTACCTCTAGAGTTCTCCATCTACTTCTCCATCACTAAGTGGGGGAGTGAGGCCTCTGCTCTGGTTCAGGGCCTAACTTCTGGCACCTCCACACTTCAGAGGCTAAAATGACCACTGTTGACTTAGCCAAGAAATACAACAGCCAGAAACAGCAGCCCCACAGGGGATACTGACCCCTCGAGCTAAATGGTACCCTCCCTTGTTGTAAAGAAAGAAAATCTGTTTTCCGTAGAGGCTTTTCATTAGCTTCATTCCATCACATAGCTTTAGAGACACACACACACAATGGCTTTTTGGACTCCTCAACTCTGTCAATGGCTCTGGCAGGCCTCTGTCCTCCTGTATTCCTAGGAGATGCTGTCTCTCTGATGTCACAGGCAGGCAGTTGCTGTGTGCATGGCTTGTCATCTGGGATCTAGTTCTTCCTGGATCTATCCTATGCCATTTCCTGGATCACCTTATCCTGGATTCTAGCCTTGGCTTCCCAATGTCTCCCTGGCTCAGCATCTTTCCTTTTAATCTCCCTTTCTTTTACACTGATGACAGATTGTCTTTCAGGAACACAAACCAAAATTTCCCAAGCCCAATCACTGGGTATAGTCATACGTGTGTGTTATATGTGATATGGATACAGAAATAAACATAGGCCACTCTATGTATCTCTATCACTTTTTTTGTGGCACTGGAAATTGAGCTTATGCCCCATGCATACTAGTACTGTATCACTAAGCTATATTCCC